ATGGATGGACAGATATCGTTTCTGAGGCTAAAACAAACTAATGTAGGATGGATGGACAGATATCGTCTCTGAGACTCAACCAAACTAATGTAGGATGGATGGACAGATATCGTTTCTGAGGCTAAAACAAACTAATGTAGGATGGATGGACAGATATCGTCTCTGAGGCTAAAACAAACTAATGTAGGATGGATGGACAGATATCGTTTCTGAGGCTAAAACAAACTAATGTAGGATGGATGGACAGATATCTTCTCTGAGACTCAACCAAACTAATGTAGGATGGATAGACAGATATCGTCTCTGAGGCCAAACCAAACTAATGTAAGATGGATGGACAGATATCGTCTCTGAGGCCAAACCAAACTAATGTAGGATGGATGGACAGATATCGTCTCTGAGGCCAAACCAAACTAATGTAGGATGGATGGACAGATATCGTCTCTGAGGCCAAACCAAACTAATGTAAGATGGATGGACAGATATCGTCTCTGAGGCCAAACCAAACTGATATAGGGTGGATGGACAGATATCGTTGCTAAGGCCAAACCAAATTGATATAGGACAGACTGAGAAATATCTTCTCTGAAGCAAAACCAAATTAATGTAGGATGGACTGAGGGATATCCTTTGTGAGGTCAAACCAAATTTTTGCCTGTATCACAACACTTATTATTGACCACAAAATCTACATCACAAAAATTCATTACTTGACCACAAAGTCTACATCACAAAAAACTCATTACTTGACCACAAAGTCTACATCACAAAATCTCATTACTTGACCACAAAGTCTACATCACAGGAACACATTACCTGACCTCTTACTCTACTCAGAAGATCTCCTGATCTGACAACTAAGTCAGCAACACAAGATCTGACATCTGAGTCAGCATCACAAGATCTAATTTGAACATAATCATTGTTTCACAAGATCTCCTAATTTGAACATAATCATTGTTTCACAAGATCACCTAATTGACCACTCAGTCTATTACATCAGACCTCTTGGTTTGATCACTACAACACAAAATCTCTTTTCATTTGACAAGTTAATCTTGGATATCAAATTTCTTAACATAACCAGTAGCTGAAACACAATGACTTCTAACTTTACCACTAGATCTCTTACTTTGACATGCAAATCTGCAAAAAAAAAGATCTTTCAATTTGACTGCAAATTCTGCAACAAAAGACCTCTCAATTTGACCACTAAATCTGCAACACAAGTTCTATGAATTTCACTTTTTTAATCTGCAACACAAGATCTCTAATTATGACCACTTAATTTGCAACACAAGATCTCTTAATTTGACCAATATATCTTTACTGCAAGATTAAAATTAATTAATATGGTCATTAAGGCTGCAACATAAAATCTCATAATTACACCACATCAAAGTGCTGTTTAAGACATCATCTAACACTTTGTCTGTGATGTGAGATCTTATTTGACCAATATGAGCTTGTAGTCAACGATTTTCATCTAAAATTTTGAATAGGGTAAGCTTTCTTTATGAAAAACTTAGCCAATCAGAAATCATATACACATAACACAAACATTAATCTGTATGCCAAGAGAGCAAATAAAAAACATTTTTGATTCAGTATGGAAATGTGGATATAAGTACAATGTTATATCTAGGGAGGGGACAACAGTTGAGTGCCAATCAGCTACTTAATACTCAAGGTGAATTACATCAGGCTGTAGTGACTGGTATAAATGTCTTCAGTCAATCATGTTGGTTAGAAATTATTTTTACAAGGCGCTACAAATTATCATAACTGTAAAAATTGGGGCTTTTGACACGTTAAGTATGTATTATGAATTTCCTTTGTCTAGTGTTACACATTACCACACAGAACATGGAGTTCTAAGGATCACTCATATGATTGTATTTCATCTATCTTATTTCTTGTTTATCACGATATGTCATTCATAAATACATAATATCAATAACTTGATGAATATCTATGTGACAAGAAAAATAATACAAAAATACTTAAACATAGAAAATTGCTGTTCTACAAAGGGGTAGAAAAATAAAAAAGTTTTATCTCTACTGTCAGTTAAAACAGTTTAATGTCAGCAGTAATGCATTCTAAACAGTGACACAGAAAGATACAGAAACAACATCAGCCATTGGTAAAATAAACAATGATATTGGTACTGAAGGAAAAGATCAATAACTTGTTAAGCTACAGAGTGACCAACTTATGTGTCACCTTCATTCACTGTACTTGTTTTTGTGTCTATCCAACACTACCAATTCATTTCATATGTCTGTGATTGACTCTAAGTGTCACCACGACTGACAAAGTGTCACTATCAAGGACACTATGGTGTCACCATGACTGACTCTATATGTCACCATGAGCCACTATGTGTCACTATCACTGACTAAGTGTCACCACGACTGACTAAGTGTCACTATCAAGGACACTATGTGTCACCATTACTGACTCTTATGTGTCATCATGAGTGAGTATGTGTCACTATCACTGACACTATGTGTCACCATGAGTAAATATGTGTCACTATCACTGACTCTTATGTGTCACCATAAATGAATATGTGTCACTATCACCGACTCTTATGTGTCACCATGAGTAAATATGTGTCACTATCACTGACTCTTATGTGTCACCATGAGTGAATATGTGTCACTATCACTGACTTTTATGTGTCACCATGAGTAAATATGTGTCACTATCACTGACACTATGTGTCACCATGAGTAAATATGTGTCACTATCACTGACTCTTTGTGTCACCATGGTTTACTATAAGTTGTTGTCATCATGACTACATGTCACTATCATTGACACTTTATGTCAACATGACTGATTCTATTTGTCAATATGAACAAATATGTGTCACTATCATCAATACTATGTGTCACCATGACTATATGCCACTATCATTGATACTATGTGTCACCATGACTATATGCCACTATCATTGATACTATGTGTCACCATGAGTGAATATGTGTCACTATAAATGACACTGCATGTCACCATGAATGACTTTATGAGTTACCATGACTGTGTCACAGTCATCAACACTATGGATACTCTATTTGATTTTTGACTGATGTGAGATTGTGAGAACCCACAATACATTATATAGATGTAATCCTCTTAGGCCCTATGTCACATACAGATAAACCATGTAACAATGTAACCACAGAAATTCTATTAGGATTTAAACAATATATCATATTGCTGTAACAGGAAGAAGTCTGTCAATCCTATCCACAGATTTTCATCCTGTGCCATGTTACCACTAAGACTTAATATACTACCTGTGTGACATCTTATGTTACCAATGACATAATGATGTGACACTGTGAGTACCACTAGATACATACATAATAATCACCCTAGCTGGTACCCTGAGTACTCTGGTAGTGTGAGTACCACTAGATACATACATAATAATCACCCTAACAGGTACCCTGAGTACTCTGGTAGTGTGAGTACCACTGGATACTCACCCTTAATGGTACCCTGAGTACTCTGGTAGTGTGAGTACCACTGGATACTCACCCTTAATGGTACCCTGAGTACTCTGGTAGTGTGAGTACCACTGGATACTCACCCTTAATGGTACCCTGAGTACTCTGGTAGTGTGAGTACCACTGGATACTCACCCTAACAGGTACCCTGAATACTCTGGTAGTGTGAGTACCACTGGATACATACATAATAATCACCCTAACAGGTACTCTGAGTACTCTGGTAGTGTGAGTACCACTGGATACTCACCCTTAATGGTACCCTGAGTACTCTGGTAGTGTGAGTACCACTGGATACTCACCCTTAATGGTACCCTGAGTACTCTGGTAGTGTGAGTACCACTGGATACTCACCCTAACAGGTACCCTGAATACTCTGGTAGTGTGAGTACCACTGGATACTCACCCTTAATGGTACCCTGAGTACTCTGGTAGGTTGAGTACCACTGGATACTCACCCTTAATGGTACCCTGAGTACTCTGGTAGTGTGAGTACCACTGGATACATACATAATAATCACCCTAACAGGTACCCTGAGTACTCTGGTAGGTTGAGTACCACTGGATACTCACTCTTAATGGTACCCTAAGTACTCTGGTAGTGTATCACTTGATACTCACCCTAACAGGTACCCTGAGTACTCTGGTAGTGTGAGTACCACTGGATACTCACCCTTAATGGTACCCTGAGTACTCTGGTAGTGTGAGTACCACTGGATACTCACCCTAACAGGTACCCTGAGTACTCTGGTAGTGTGAGTACCACTGGATACCCACCCTTAATGGTACCCTGAGTACTCTGGTAGTGTGAGTACCACTGGATACTCACCCTAACAGGAACCCTGAATACTCTAGTAGTGTGAGTATCACTGGATACTCACCCTTAATGGTACCCTGAGTACTCTGGTAGTGTGAGTACCACTGGATACTCACCATTAATGGTACCCTGAGTACTCTGATACTGATGTACTACTGGAATACCTGCAAGATTATCACATATTTTTTTTTCACTGAGGTAGACTCATACACACAGTATACATAATGTGTACACAGTTTTGCCATTAGAATCATCAACTACACACAACATTATATGTGTCTGGATGAGTATTCCACCTGGTCCTAAAGCCAGGCTTAAATCACCACATGCTTGGTATTAAGTCTAATGTAAACATAACAAACTCCAATGAGATGAGCAAAATTACACTGGTTACATCAACAAATCAGAGCTGTACTAATATCTACTGCTGAATTGCTGAGTAAAACAATGCTAATTTATCACAGAAGGTTGTGGCCATATCTGACAGACAGAAAGTGAAGAGAAAAAGACTACATAAATCAATGTAACATAGCACCTATAGACCCTGTCAGGTCAAACATTAACCTACAGGATACCACAGAGACAAATATTAGTCTTATCATGAATGAAAATTCAATGTATTTGTGGGTAAGTGAAGAGTGTGTGGGATAAATGGTACGTACCGTGCTGTAGACTCCAGCTTATATAAGATGGTGGTCAGTAGGTATTAGATTCCATGAAAGAGAGACTGAGGGTTGATGAGCACGGAACACAGTAGTAGGTCTGTGTCTCCCTCCGCTGGCTACAACACTATACCTATGTATGTACCTTGTGTGTAGCCTGCTATCTACCAGCCTGCTAGCTCATGTGCCGATCTATGACGTCAAAGGAAAAACAAGGTCAGAGAGCCCATACCTAATCAACAGTGCTGTATTATTAATGACTCTAATTGCATACACACTCCAGGCTTACCTACACACTGCTGCTTGCACATTACTTAAAGCCTGTTTCAGAAAACCTCCATATTATATATAAATCCTTAAAATAATCAAGCATTTGAATTTACACGGTGTAAATACACAGTAAGCTACAGTAGGAATTTCAACACTGGGTTGGATCAGCTGTGTCCATTTCTTGCAGCATGGATGTGAATACACTAGCAAATGCATAAAGAAATCAGGAAGGGAAACATGATTGTGATTAGAGGGAACTTCAATCCTTGTAAGCTTTATCTAGGTAGGGACTGCCAATACACATACAGACAGGCAATATCTTTAATTCAATAAACCGATAGCTTTACACCTCAACTTTTATGTCCCATTAAATTCACATTAGCTCTATGGTATCAATCATACTGCTCTATCTGTGTGATTGAAAATTATAAGTACTGACTTCATTTACAAATGAGAATAATATTCATGCTTACATATAATTTATGATATTGATAAATTTGCTCATAATAGTTACATAAAAGCTTGATGTATTTTTTTTATTAAAATATGCCAGTCTAATAATGTTTTTAGAAAACATAAAATTCATTTGATAAAGTGTTGATACTGTGTGTGTGTTGATACTGTGTGTGTGTGTTGATACTGTGTGTGTGTGTGTGTTGATACTGTGTGTGTGTTGATACTGGGTGTGTGTTGATACTGTGTGTAAGTGCTGATACTGTGTGTATGTGCTGATACTGTGTGTGTGTGTGTTGATACTGTGTGTGTGTTGATACTGGGTGTGTGTGTGTTGATACTGGGTGTGTGTTGATACTGTGTGTGTGTGTTGATACTGTGTGTGTGTTGATACTGGGTGTGTGTTGATACTGTGTGTGTGTTGATACTGTGTTTGTGTTGATACTGTGTGTATGTCCTGATACTGTGTGTGTGTGTGTTGATACTGGGTGTGTATTGATACTGCATATGTGTTGATACAATGTGTGTGTGTGTTGATACTGTGTGTGTGTTGATACTGGGTGTGTATTGATACTGCATATGTGTTGATACAATGTGTGTGTGTATTGATACTGTGTGTATGTGCTGATACTGTGTGTGTGTGTTGATACTGGGTGTGTGTTGATACTGTGGGTATGTGCTGATACTGTGTGTGTGTGTTGATACTGCATGTGTGTTGATACTGTGTGTGTTGATAATGTGTGTGTGTTGATTCTGGGTGTGTGTTGATACTGTGTGTGTGTATGTGTTGATACTGGGTGTGTGTTGATACTGCATATGTGTTGATACTGTGTGTGTGTGTGTGTGTGTGTTGATACTGTGTGTGTGTTGATACTGGGTGTGTGTTGATACTGTGTGTGTGTATGTGTTGATAATGGGTGTGTGTTGATACTGCATGTGTGTTGATACTGTGTGTGTGTGTTGATACTGTGTGTGTTGATACTGTGTGTGTGTTGATACTGTGTGTGTGTGTTGATACTGGGTGTGTGTTGATACTGCATATGTGTTGATACTGTGTGTGTGTTGATACTGTGTGTGTGTTGATACTGTGTGTGTGTGTGTTGATACTGTGTGTGTGTTGATACTGGGTGTGTGTTGATACTGTGTGTATGTGCTGATACTGTGTGTATGTGCTGATACTGTGTGTGTGTGTTGATACTGTGTGTGTGTTGATACTGGGTGTGTGTGTGTGTTGATACTGGGTGTGTGTTGATACTGTGTGTGTGTTGATACTGTGTGTGTGTTGATACTGGGTGTGTGTTGATACTGTATGTGTGTTGATACTGTGTGTGTGTTGATACTGTGTGTATGTCCTGATACTGTGTGTGTGTGTGTTGATACTGGGTGTGTGTTGATACTGCATATGTGTTGATACTGTGTGTGTGTGTGTGTGTTGATACTGTGTGTGTGTTGATACTGTGTGTATGTGCTGATACTGTGTGTGTGTTGATACTGTGGGTATGTGCTGATAATGTGTGTGTTGATACTGTGTGTGTGTGTTGATACTGCATGTGTGTTGATACTGTGTGTGTGTTGATACTGTGGGTATGTGCTGATACTGCATGTGTGTTGATACTGTGTGTGTGTGTTGATACTGCATGTGTGTTGATACTGCATGTGTCTTGAAACTGTGTGTTGATACTGTGTGTGTGTTGATACTGTATGTGTGTTGATACTGTTAGTGTGTGTTGATACTGTATGTGTGTTGATACTGTGTGTGTTGATACTGTATGTGTGCTGATACTGTGTGTGTGTTGATACTGGGTGTGTGTTGATACTCTGTGTGTGTATGTGTTGATAATGGGTGTGTGTTGATACTGCATATGTGTTGATACTGTGCGTGTGGGTGTTGATACTGTGTGTGTGTTAATACTGTGTGTGTGATGATACTGGGTGTGTGTTGATACTGTGTGTGTGTTGATACTGTGTGTGTGTTGATACTGTGTGTGTGTTGATACTGTATGTGTGCTGATACTGTGTGTGTGTTGATACTGTGAGTGTGTTGATACTTGATGTGTGTTGATACTGTGTGTGTGTGTGTTGATACTGTGTGTGTGTTAATACTGTGTGTGTGATGATACTGGGTGTGTGTTGATACTGCATGTGTGTTGATACTGTGTGTGTGTGTTGATACTGTGTGTGTGTTGATACTGTGTGTGTGTTGATACTGTATGTGTGCTGATACTGTGTGTGTGTTGATACTGTGAGTGTGGTGATACTTGATGTGTGTTGATACTGTGTGTGTGTTGATACTGTATGTATGCTGATACTGTGTGTGTGTTGATACTGTGTGTGTGTTTATACTGTGTGTGTGTTGATACTTTATATGTGTGTTGATACTATGTATGTGTTGATACTGTATATGTGTGTTAATACTGTGTGTGTGTTGATACTGTGTGTGTGTTGATACTGTGTGTGTGTTTATACTGTTTGTGTGTGTTGATACTCTGTGTGTGTTGATACTGGGTGTGTGTTGATACTGTGTGTGTGTTTATACTGTGTGTGTGTTTATACTGTATGTGTGTTGATACTGTGTGTGTGTTTATACTGTGTGTGTGTTGATACTGTGTGTGTGTTGATACTGTGTGTGTGTTTATACTGTGTGTGTGTGTTGATACTGTGTGTGTGTGTGTGTTGATACTGTGTGTTGATACTGTGTGTGTGTTGATACTTTGTGTGTGTTTATACTGTGTGTGTTGATACTGTGTGTGTGTTGATACTGTGTGTGTGTTGATACTGTGTGTACGTTTATACTGTATGTTTTTCGATAATGTTTGTTGATACTATGTGATATTGCTTTTGTGTCTATACTGTATGCATGAAAGGCTAATCCATCAGAGGTATGGATAATCAAGAAAATACCAAGAGAAACAGAGATAGACAGAAAGGATGACATAGAGTTAGACTGAAGTTGGATAGAGATAATATGGAAAGACAGGAAGGCATGAGACAGATAGAGAGAAGAGAGAAGGTGGATGCATAGATGGACAGAAAATGGAGAAAGAGAAACAGAGAAGGTGGATAGAGAGGAGGATGGTGTAAAGAGAAGAACACAGATGCTGGATAGAGAAGACAAGCAGGATAAAGAAGAAGACAAAAGGTGGATATAGAGGAGAAAAGAAGGTAGATAAAAAGGTGGGAAAAGGTTTGAACAAGCGAGAAAGAAAGATGGTGAAAAATAGGTGGATAAAAGAAGGAGAAAAAAGTGGACAGATGGTGGATAGAGAGGAAGATAAGGAGTATAGAGAGAAACACAGAAGCTTGATAGAGAAGACAAGCATGATAAAGAGGAAGACATAAGGTGGATATAGAGGAGAACAGAAGATAGAAAGGTGGACAGTAGGTGGAAAAAGAGAGGAAAACGGAAGGTGGAAAAATTGGTGGAAAGAAAATAAAGAGAGAAGAAGACAAGCAAGTTAAAGGAAGACAGAAGGTAGATAAATAGGTGGACAGAAAATAAAGAGAGAATAAGACAAGCAAGTTAAAGGAAGACAGAAGGTAGATAAATAGGTGGACAGAAAATAAAGAGAGAAGAAGACAAGCAAGTTAAAGGAAGACAGAAGGTAGATAAATAGGTGGACAGAAATTAAAGAGAGAAGAAGACAAGCAAGTTAAAGGAAGACAGAAGGTAGATAAATAGGTGGACAGAAAATAAAGAGAGAAGAAGACAAGCAAGTTAAAGGAAGACAGAAGGTAGATAAATAGGTGGACAGAAAATAAAGAGAGAAGAAGACAAGCAAGTTAAAGGAAGACAGAAGGTAGATAAATAGGTGGACAGAAAATAAAGAGAGAAGAAGACAAGCAAGTTAAAGGAAGACAGAAGGTAGATAAATAGGTGGACAGAAAATAAAGAGAGAAGAAGACAAGCAAGTTAAAGGAAGACAGAAGGTAGATAAATAGGTGGACAAAAGATGGAGGGAGTGGAGGACAGAAGGTGGATAGAGAGGAAGACAAGGTGGAAAGATTGAACACAAATGTTCAAAAGAGAAGACAAGCATGATAAAGAGGAAGACATAAAGTGGGTATAGAGGAAAAGAGAAGGTAGATTAGAAAGGTAGGCAGTAGGTGGAAAAGTGGAAGACATGCAGGATAAAGAAGAAGACAGGAGGTGAATAGAGAGAACAGGAGGTAGATAGACAGGAAAAGAGGTAGACAAAAGGTGAAGACAAGGTGGAGGGGAAGACAAGCAGGATAGAGATGAAGATAGAAGGTGGATTATGAGAAGAACAGAATATGGATAGACATGAGGACAGGAGGTAGATAGGCAAGAAAAGAGGTAGATAAAGGGTGAAGACAAGGTG